GAACCTCTGGTTTGGATAATGTCCCTCCTGTTCCCCATCCTTGGCATGCCTGGTGGCCCTGCAGCTCCAAAGTGAAGCTGATTTCAGAATTCAGCCTCCAACATGTGCTCCTGCTGGTGCACATCTGTGCATTCTCAAAGCCAGAGACGTGTTTGAGTCAACAAACGTTTCCCAAATGGTCTCTTTCCTATTCGTGGTCTTTCAGGTGGTCATTCCCCTTCCCAAGTGACTGCCTTGGGCTTCAATTTTATAATCTAATTTTTAAAATTTACCGCTTTAACTGTGTGTAAGATTCCTTCTGACTGTCCCTCAGGTTCCTCTCTGCCTCCTCTGTTCCCCCAGGATGGCAAATCCAACTCCAGCAAGCTGCTGCTGGATCCAGAGTTCAGGAACTGTGCTTGTTTTTGTAAAAATGGGAAGCTGTATGAGAACTGGAACTAGATGGACATTGAGAAGCTGGCAGTGGGAGGTGTGAGCTACATGAAATCCTCGTTATATGTTCAGGTTCCCTAAATTACTTTGAAGCACAACCTTTAATGTGAGGAGAAGCTCAGTGAGGCGGCTGAGGGTGTGTGGATCCTGGCTCTGTGTGTGCTCACTGAGGGCTGTGTGCTGGTTCAGAGCAGGATCTCTGCACTCCCAGGGAGCAGCTCTGGGCTGCTGCTTCGCTTGGAACAGAAAGAGTGAAAGGCAAAAGTGCTGCTGCCTTCCTGCCAAACAGTAAAAAGCTGCATGTTTAAAAGCAAGATTTCAGTCTAAAAGCATCAAAGCAAAACACTGACTTACTTGAGAACCCCTGTTGTCTTATCCTGATAATAATGTTCTTTTTAGACAGAGTTGGAAGGTGTTTTATTGGCTGCTTTAATGCCTTCATGAGCACAGTGTGTTTCTGAGCTGCTGCTGTGTCTTGTGTTCAGGAATACTGCATGTGCCATACTTCTGCTTGCTAAAGTTTCAGAGAATTGCTTTTTTCAGTTCAGGGTATGAATGCATTGTCAAATAAGACATTTGTTTCCATTTACACAACTTGCAATTTGGTAATAAGAAACAGATGAAAAAGCAGTGTCCAAATTCTCTTGTACAAAGTTTCTTGTGAATGCCATCCCTTCATTTCACAGAAACAGGCCAGTTTTCAGTCCTGAAATGTGAGTAGCATTAAAAGTACAGATACCAAGAAAGAAGAAAGCAAGCACAAATAACTGGAGCTTAGTGAAGTGGTATGAAATCTAGCACTGGCTTCTGAATATCAACCCAAAAGCTGCCTGGGGTTGAATACCCCAGACTCAAGGGGTGTTTTCAGCCCCGTGCTGCTCTGACTGTACTGACCAGTCAGTGGGTGTCCATCAGAGGCATTAAAGGGCAGAGTAAGTCATTTTCGCTTTTTACTACAAGGTTGCAGCTTAACTGTCTGCGGGCAGACGAGGCCGCATCCCGTGGCTCGGGTGCTGAGCGTGCTCCTTTCCCCTCCTGGAGCCCCCAGGCGCCCGTGCCTGCCCCGCCGGGGAAGGAGCGCCCGGGCCGGCGCTGCTGCCGCTGCTGCTGCTGCTGCTGCGGGTTTGGCGGCGCTCGGTGGAAGGCAGACGGTCTGCAGGGCTGCACTGCCGCCCCGTGGCTTCTCCCTTCCCTTCCGAAAAGCTTCCTGAAAGCACGGGAGCCCAGCGCTGCGGTGGGCAGCTCTAGCGCCCACACCTGCAGCCTTTCTGCCTCCCCTTCACCTGCGCGGGCCCAACTGTGCCCCTCCTGCTGGAGGTCCTGCCGGGGTCCCGGGGCTGTGGTGTCGTTTCCCCAGACCCTTTCAACTCCCCTGTCTCCATCCCTCTGCCCCAGCCCTGCAGGGCCATTGGCCTCCAGGGGTGACTGTCCCCATGTGACCCCTCTGTCCCCAGCAGGAGTGGGGGGCTCTGCTGTCCCCAGCAGGAGTGGGGGGCTCTGCTGTCCCCAGCTGACCCCTCTGTCCCCAGCAGCAGTGGGGCTGTGCTGCCCCATCACCCAGGGGTACCCAGGGCCCTGCCAGCCCTCGGTGCCACTCTGGGCAGCTGTCACTCCCCAGCCCAGAGGAGATGTGGCCCTCCTCAGCGTGGGTGCACCACACCACTGCTGTCACCACGGGCTCTGTGAGGCAGCAGGGCTCAGCCAGGGCCACAGCAGTGACGTGCCTGCACACGAGGCCATGCTGGCACCTGCACCCCAGGGCAGGCTCAGGCTGCACAGTGGGAAATGATGTCCACAGGCTGCAGGTGGCTGTGGCAGAGTCCCCAGCCCTGGAGGGGCCGTGTGGATGTGGCACTTGGGGACATGGGCTGGTGGTGGCCTGGGCAGTGCTGAGGGCATGGCTGCACTCAATGGTCTTGGGGGGATTTTCCAGCCTGGATGATTCTGAGACTGACAGACAAAGCAAGGGCTTGTGTGCTGTGAGGGTGCAGGCAGTGGGGATGCAGTGGGGTGGAAGGGGGTGAGGAGGGACTGCTCTACAAACAGATGTAAGGCTGTAAGCCTGGATTGCTGTTACAAACAAGGTGTAAGGTTATAAACTTACACAAATCTCCTTTCCAAAGCACAGTTTGAAAGCTCAGTCTGATGTTGCAATGCTTATTTTTTGCTGGGTTGACTTACTGAGGCGGCAGGTCAGCGCCTGACTGAGTCCATGCCCTCTCTGCACAGCTGAGCACATCCAGGCAATCCTGGCTCTGATTGTCCATGTCGTGGAGCACAGGGATGCAGGGAATGCTGGCTCTGAGCAGGGGCACATGCTGCCTGCTGCTCTTCCCATTGCACTTTTAGCCCTGGCTTTAGCCTGCTTAACCTTGCACTCATTTTTTTCTGACACATCAGCAGCCTGGACATGCTGGGGACATGCAGAGGGTGGGAAGCAGGGCATGCTGCATGGCTCTTGGTACACTGTGTGCAGGAAAAGCAGCAATGTGATGTTTCATCTTTGTATAACTTCAGAATGGTTTGGGTTGGAGGAGTGGCTTAAACTTGTCCCATTCCACCCACATGCCGTGGGCAGGGACAGCCTCCACTAGACCAGGTGCTCCAAGCTCCATCCAACCTTACTGAATGAAATAAATAAGGAGGGAAAGGACTAAAGCAAATGTTTGTTTGCTTTAGAAGGCTGTGAGTGGTGGGGAGCAGGTGGTGCACAGCAAGCCAGCAGTGCAGGCTGGTGTTGGGCTGAGGCATGAAGGGTAAGCACTGCGTGGGATGGATCTGCATTTTAACATTCACATGCTCCATTTGGCACCTCATCCTGTCTGACAGAGGTCTTGTGCTGTCCCAACTGGTCCCTTTGACTGAAAGGGCTCTAACAGAATTGGCATTGGAGCATTTCCATATTGCAGCTGATGCTGTACGGCTCCTTTGGGTAAATCAGTTTATGATTTCCTCTATCTGGGAGTGCTGTGGGTTCAGGGAGGTTGCTGGGGAGGTTCACTGGAGGGCAGGGGAGTGGCTCTGGCATGAGATGAGACGTTGGTCTTTCAGGGTTAAGCACTGTGAGCTCCTGCCCTAAGCCAAGGGTGACCTCGGGGCAGGAGCAGCGCCCTGGCTGTCACTGCACAGCCACGTTCCACCTGGAGACCAGCATGGAAGGAGAGTGGGAAACCTTCCTTAAGTGCAACAAAATGAAACACCAGTTTTGGTGGTTCCAGTCTGGCCTCCTCTTCCTCTGTGCTGTTTGCCTGTGCCAGAGCTGTCCTGGGAACTCCTGTTCTCCTGGGAGGGACAGGGCAGGAGGGGGCTTTGTCCTGCATGCCCCATCATCAGCTGTGCCTTATCTTCCCATGCCACCTGAGATCTGGCTTCTTTACCTATGTTTTACCTCTCAGCCTCTGACAAAGGACCTGAGCTGTGCAAAAGAGGAGATGGGTTTGCTGCTCTGTGCCCAGCCCTGTGTGTACACGTCAGTGCTGGGACCCAGGGCCAGGCCACCCTCACCTGTGCCAGAGTGGGCTCACCTGTGCCCTGCCCTGGCACTGCAGGGCAGGTGGAGTGGCCCTGGAGCTGTGTTCTCTCTTGGTTTTGTGGGAGTGGGGTGAAGAACATTGGGCTTTCACTGGCTATTGTGCTGCAGAAGGACTGAGGAGAGAGAGCACGGATGGATTTTTAAAATACTTGAATAGTTTGGAGGTGACAGAACTTAAATGTCTGAAAGTCTGACTAAGGGCCAATCTTCATCTGTGTTTGGGCAGGTGGCACATGGTTCAGCTCTCAGCTTTCTGTGATGTTCCTGCTCTGCTCCTCCAAAGGCTGCTTCACCCCACAAGCTGCTCAGACAGAGAGCACGAGGCTGCGCTGATTTGCTGCAGGTGGAACTTTAGCCAAAGAAATCACCTACATTTCAATCTGAAAAGGTAAAACCGCTGTGTCCCAGGCTCTGCTCGAGTCCCTGCCTCGTAGAGCGGCAGCTCGGTGCCCCAGGACACCCGACAGGGCTGCCTGCACCCGGGCGTCACCGAGCGGCTCCCGAAGGGCTCCCGAGCGGCTGCGGAGCGGCTCCCGAGCGGCTCCCGAGCGGCTCCCGAAGGGCTCCCGAGCGGCTCCCTCCGCTGCCTGTCTCGGGGGACTGGGGCAGGTGACGGGGCTCGGTTCGGGGTTCGGTGCGGGGCTCGGTGCGGGGCTGGCAGTGGAGGCTCAGTGCGGGGTTCAATGCGGGGCTCGGTGCGGGGTTTGGTTCGGGGTTCAATGCAGGGCTCGGTGCGGGGCTCGGTGCGGGGTTTGGTTCGGGGTTCAATTCGGGGTTCAGTGCGGGATTCAATGCGGGGCTCGGAGCAGGACTGGCCGGCTCGGCTGCTCCCGGCGGCTGCACGCCCTGCTGGTGAAACCTGTTGTTTTGGAAGCTGCACAGTGGAGTAACCTCTGCCCCGGGTGATACGACAAGAAATCACCTCCTGGCCGGGACCCAAGCAAAACACGGGATTAACTTTGCCCTGCGCTGGCTCGCCGGGAGGCGGTGAGAGGGGGAGAGCCGCTCCGGCAGCGCCAGAGAGGATCCTGCGAGGATGGGGGCCCGGCTGCTGTGCCTGTGCCTCCTCACCGCCCTCCTCGGCTACTACATCTACAGCCCGCTGCCGCAGGAGCTGGCCCAGCCCGGCACCGTGATGCTCGCCTCGGCTGCCCTCCGGGCCCTGGGGCACCTGGTGAGCCGTGGGGCAGGGCAAGGGGGTTCAGTGGGCTCGGGGACACGGCACGGTGTGTGTGTGTGCTCTCTGTGTGTGCGCTCTGTGTGTGTGTGTGTGTGTGCTCTGTGTGTGTGTGTGTGTGCTCTGTGTGTGTGTGTGTGTGCTCTGTGTGTGTGTGTGTGTGCTCTGTGTGTGTGTGTGTGCTCTGTGTGTGTGTGTGTGCTCTCTGTGTGTGTGCTCTCTGTGTGTGTGCTCTCTGTGTGTGTGCTCTCTGTGTGTGTGCTCTGTGTGTGTGTGTGTGTGTGTGTGCTGTGTGTGTGCTGTGTGTGTGTGTGCTCTCTGTGTGTGCTGCATGTGTCACACGGGGACGGTGCTGCACGGACCCGAGGGCAGAGTCGCTGAATGGAGCTCTGAACTGACTATGATAGAAAGAAATGTAGGAAAGGTTTGGTCTTGCAGCCTTGAGAAAGGGCCGCTCTGAGTAACGAATGGGACGTGGGATGTGACTGGATCAACAAGCACAGACAGGCCTGTCTCGCTTTGCAGGGCTGTGCAGCTCCAGCCCTGCTGCCTGAATCATCCCTGGCTCCTGTGCCCAGCTCCCCCGCCAGCGCTGGCTGTCCGGGGAGGGAACACTACAGCAGCTCTCACATTCTATTGATTTCTGTGGCTTCATGGAAATCCACTGGCAAAAAGGCCTGAAAACCACACAAAACAACATCTCTGTGTGAGACAGCCCCTGCTGGCAGGGGGTACTTTTCAGGGCTGTCCAGTCTGCAGGAGGAGGGAGGATGAGGAGTTTTTTGGTGTGTGTCAGGGACTCCTGTTTTGATTTCGGGGGCTGAGGCGGTGGAAGATGAGTGGTGAGAAGGGAAGGAGCTGTGGTCAGCAGTGCTGGTGTGCTGCCTTGCTGCTTCCCCTGCCACATCCCCTGCTGGAGGGGCCTGCAGGGCGGGCGGGCACGGGCAGCCCATTGCCGGGTCACACCGTCCCTCAGCAGGACCCTGGCACAGGAGTGGTGTGATCTCCCTGGAAGGTGGGGCTGTGTCTGCTGCTGCTGTCCTGCCTGCCGGGCTCAGCCGGGCTCTGGGCAGGCGTTTTGTAACCGGGCTCTCATCTCCTGTGAAACCATAATCCCAAGGGAAGGGCACAGCCACAGCCCCCCTGGAGCTGCACTGGTGCAAATCAGAGTCAGGTGGCCCTAAATTGTCCCAAATGTATCCTGAATGGCCCTGCAGTTACTGGGCAGTGACTCAAGCTCACCTGGGGCAGGGCTGTGTTTCAGAGGGGGCCCTGGTGCAGTCTCTCTGACTCCCTGATGTTGGTTTGAACAAAGGGGCCAAAGTGCCACCCTCGAGTGTTCCTGGGCAGTAGAATTCTCTCTGGGCTCCCAAAAGGGTGTGCCACGAGCCCACAGCATGGCACATCTCCATGCCCTGTTGTGGGGGCTCCTGGGGAGCCCCCAGCCCTGCTGGGTGAGCTCAGAGGCCCTCAGTGCCCCCTCTTTGCAGCAGGGAGGCTGGGAGCTCTCCCTGGCCTGTTGATGTTCGTGTCCTGTGTCCGTGTGCTGCCAAGCTGGGGAACAGCCTCTGAGAGCACACCTGCCACTTGCTGTGGTGTTTGAGCCCCCAAATCCCTCAGGTATTTCAGGAAGTGCCCTGTAAATGCCTGGAGAAGGTACAAAACACAGCAGGATGTTTTTGCTGCCGTTGTGGGACATCCCCCCAGAGCTCCCCCCTCCTCAGCCCAGCTCTGTGGAAGCAGAGAGCCTGACTGGGCCCTGCTCACGAGCTGCCCTGTCGGGGTGATGGGGAGCATCCCAAGCACTGCCCCTCTGGAGCCCTGTGGCACTGCCCCTGCCCGGGCACAGCCAGGCTCCCTTCCCTGCACAGGGCTTGGCTCTGTCCTTGCTGTGGGGACTGGGGAAATGCTTTCCAAAGCCCAAGGAAAGTGCTTGTGCACAAGGAAAATGCTTTCCAAAGCACAGGGATCCCAGCCCCAAAGTGGCAGGCTTTCCTGTTGCTCCATAAGGCCCAATAATCTCACACTGGGACAATGAGGATTTTCAGATGAGGGCACCATTTCCTTTGATTGATAATGGCCTGGAAACCACAGGCAGCAGCCCAGTGGTTTTCCACAATGTAAATTGTCCACTTGTGGAAAACAGCTCTGAGAGCTCTGGAAACCCTCAGTGCTGGGGCTCAGGGAATTCCTCCCACCACGGGGCCTTCACAAGCTCGTTGGAGTCACAGCAGGACTCACTTTGACTGAGATATTTGTTTTTTCAAGATGTTAATCCCTGGGGGAAAAGCAACAACTGAGACATGTTTATGTAAACTGTGTCAATGTGGTGGCTAAAACGGCAATTCTGGCACGGGCTGTGTGTTTGTTTGTTTTCATGGAGCTGATGGCAAGGACCTGTGCTTCCCTTTGCCGTGTGCCAGGGCCTGCCCACTCATCTCCCTCCCAGTTCCAGCACTCTGGGATTGGCAGGGCTCCCCCTGGCATCACCCGCTCCAGGCCTTCGGAGAGAGGTGACTCAAAAATGTGCTGACAATCAAGGGCTGAGCTCTGTGCTATTCCAGCTCCTGAAAAAGAAGGTTATAGCATGGAATCCCAGAATCCCAGACTGGTTTGGGTTGGAAAAGATCTTAAATTTCATCTCATTCCACCCTCCTGCCAAGGTCAGGGACACCTTCCACTAGACCAAGTTGCTCAAAACCTGGTTATATGTAGATGATGATGAAACAGTTGATTTAAATACAATTTGAAGGAAAAAAAAATACACCAGGCGGGGTCAGACTGTATGGCTTCCACTATCACAGTGGGAAGGCCAGAGGTTACACCTATCAGCAGATAACCTGTCAGTGTGGGGGTTCCACATTCTTCCTGGGGACAATAAAGCTTCTCTGGGACACCAAACTCCAAACAGGTTCTGCACCAGGCTCGGCTGTTTTCTTCCTTTTAAAACTCAAACCTGCTCTGAACTTCATCTGTTTTCACCTTCAGATAACATGTAAGAGCTTGGCTTTATTTCTTATTGCTTCAGTTGTGGTGTGGTGAGGCTAGGGTGGGAAGAGGGGCACGTCCCATTGCTGGGGTGCTGGTGGAGGAGCCCAGGTGCTGGTGCTGGCAGCAGTGCAGAGGCTGTGGGTGGCTGTGGGTGGCTCTGCAGTGTGCTCCCAGGGCTGTCCCCATGCCACGCTGGTGCTGGGTCTGTGGGTGGCTCTCTGCACTGTGCTCCCTGGGCTGTCTGTGCCCACTGGTGCCAGCAGCAGTGCAGGGGCTCTGGGTGGCTCTGCACTGTGCTCCCAGGGCTGTGCCCATGCCATGCTGGTGCCAGCAGCAGTGCAGGGGCTCTGGGTGGCTGTGGGTGGCTCTCTGCACTGTGCTCCCAGGGCTGTGCCCATGCCATGCTGGTGCTGGGGCTCTGGGTGGCTCTGCACTGTGCTCCCAGGGCTGTGCCCATGCCACGCTGGTGCCAGCAGCAGGCCAGGGGCCATGGGTGACTCTCTGTGGGACAATGCCCGTGCTGGTGCTGGTGGCTCGCTGGGCTGGACCCTGGGCTGCAGAGGTGACCTGCATGAACACCAAGCAGGAGCCTGAGTGTGGCACGGAGCAGCAGCCCTGGCTGTGGCTGGGCTCTGGCCTTGCTGGGCAGCTGGTGGCAGTGTGGGCACGTGCCAGGAGCGCTCCTGGCACTGCCAGGCTCAGGTGGAGGCACTCTGCTCTGGCCTGTGTGACTGCCACAGCAGCTTCACACACCTGCACAGAGCATCAAAGGGCTGCAGGGGAATTCACCCTGAGAGGAATAGGCTGCCTGGAAACAGCTTCCCCTGTCTTGTGCTGCAGTCGGAGGCGGCTGAGCTGCTGGGGCTGATGCACTACATGGAGGGCCTGAGACTGATCACGACTGTGGAGCTGGTGGCTCCCACGTCTGACGAGAACGTCACCGTGACAGACACAGAGCTCAGCGGGGTCCCCGTGCGCCTGTACCTGCCCAAGAGGCCACCTGGAGGCCTCAGGAGGGCCGTGCTCTTCTTCCACGGCGGCGGCTGGTGCCTGGGAGACGCAGGTGAGCCCTGCAGGTCGCTGCTGGGTCTGTGCCACAGATCTCACAGCCTGTCAGGAGCTGCCTCTTGCTTTGTGGGGTGTGTGTGTGTGTGTGCCCATTCTCACACACACTGGGCTTCCATTCCAGGCATGCACGGCTATGATCTCATGTCACGGCGGATTTCAAACGAGCTGAATGCTGTCGTGGTGTCAGTCAAGTAAGAGCTCTTCTCTGTCCAGATCTGTTTCTGTATTTGGTTGCATGCTTTCCTGCTGACTTATACACATTTGTGAGCAGAGGCTGCCAGGGTGACAGAGAATTGTGGTTGGTGGCTACTTTGGCTTTATGGAGATGGGTGGGTAATAAAGTGGATGCCCTGGGACAGGCAGCTCCCACTTCTCTGGGCATGGAAACAAACATCCCCCAACAGGGAGACACGAGCAAGCCCTTCTCTTTATTAACAGCAGGTACTAACACACTTCTCTTGCCTCCCCAGCTACAGGTTGGCCCCTCCACACCGTTTCCCTGCCCAGTTTGAAGACGTGTACCTGGTGACCAAGTTCTTCCTGCAGAGCAAGGTCCTGTCCCAGTATGGGGTGGACCCTGCGCGGGTCTGCGTGGCCGGGGACAGCGCCGGGGGCAACCTGGCTGCAGCTGTGGCACAACAGGTACAGCACAAACGGTTTGCAGCTCAAACTCAGTGTTTGTGTAGTCTCACAACCACTAAGGAAAGCTCAGCTCGCAGCACACACTGCTCTCCTGGTCTGCCAGGATGTCACAGCCTGCAGGGTTGTCACAGGGACCAGGCAGGCAGCTGTGCCTGAGCCACCCAGTGCCATCACAGGAGCTTTATGCCATCCAGACATCTGTCCCCTAGAAAAGGCTCTCTGCCCTCCAGTCGGGCCTTACATCACTCTAACCTTAAGCTCGTGTTGTCTGGTTTAGGTATGATGTTTGCAAAGGGAATTTTAACTATGTGACTCATGAAGATGCAAATAGCAGGGAAAACAAGCAAACAAAAAAACCCTCACTAAATTTTGTGGTGTCTGAGCATACAGTCTGGTGCCTTTTGCACTTCTCCTTCAGCTTTATTAAATAGTCAGCACAATGTTGTTGCTCTCTCGAGAAGCTGTTTGGGCTGTAACGAAACCCTGGGAATGGTGGTGAATTTGCTGCGGATGCTGAAGGCATAAAATGAGGGAGAAAATGGAAAATTTATTAGTGAAGAGGGGAAAAGGTTGACATATAAGAAATGTCAATGTTCAATTCGTCACGTTTTATTTGTTACATCTCTAAAATGCACAGAATTGTGATTGCTTGAGTTGTAACATCTCAGGGTTAAAAACCAAACAGATGAGCATGCTCTAAATTGTGTGAAACGATAAGGAGACCCTGAAATGATAAGAAACCTGAAAGTTTCGTGATGTAAGAATAGAAATTTTCAGTAGCTATAGAAAATCTTCTGTCAATGCCTCAGAAAGCATCAAAATTTAAGAAAGAGTATTTCCCAAAAATCATTATCCTTCAATATAAGAAATAAAAAGAAATTATATTTGATGTTTGAGAATTTTTATTACAGCGTGCTGTTTTAGATAGCCTGCCTATAGATTCAGACTTTCTTTATCCTGGTTTTATTGATAATCTTGTTTTGCTCACGTTGCAAAATGCGTGTTTTCATTCTCCACCTCAGATGATCTGTCAGCGTGGGAGAGTCGACACCTTTACTGATTCTTTGCAACGGGTTCTGGTTGTTTTTGCAGCTGTCGGAGGACCCTGAAGTCAAAACGAAGCTCAGAGCTCAAGTTCTGATCTACCCAGCCCTGCAGGCGCTGGACCTGGACCTGCCGTCGTACCGCGACAACGCGCACAAGCCGCTGCTGCCGCGCGCGCTGATGGTGCGGTTCTGGAGCGAGTACCTGAGCGCCGACCCCGCTCTGCGGGCGGCCATGGCCTCCAACCGCCACGTGCCGCCCGAGGCCGGGCCCCTGCTGCCGCTGGTCGACTGGAGCCGCTGGCTGCCCGCCGCCATGCGCGGGGCTCACGCCTACCGGCGCCCGGCCCTGGGCGCCGCGGGGCTGGCGCGGCGCTTCCCGGGGCTGCTGGACCCGCGTGCGTGCCCGCTGCTGGCATCCGAGGCCCGGCTGCGCCGCCTGCCCCCGGCCTTCGTGCTGACCTGTGAGCACGACGTGCTGCGGGACGACGGCGCCATGTACGCGGCCCGGCTGCGCGCCGCCGGCGTGCCCGTCACGCACCACCACGCCAAGGACGCCTTCCACGGCGCCATGACCTTCCTGGCCTGGCCGCTGGAGCTGGCCGTGGGCCACCAGCTCTTCAACACCTGTGTGGACTGGCTGAAGGAGAACCTGTGAGCCCAAGTCAGGCCCTCGCGTGCCCAGGCGTGACTGGAGCTGGGCCGGATTTTGGCCGTGACCGCCGGTGCTGGGGCTGGAGCGTTTCCCACCTTGTGTGGCAGGAAATCAGTCTGATCCCAACCCACACGTTCCTCCAGTGCTACCATCCGAACCTCAAGCCCCCAGACCGCCAGGACTGCCCCGGGTTCCTCCTCTGGCCCTGCAGCCTCCGGGCTCTGGTGTCTTGTCTCTGTTGCTGCTTCTTTCTTCCTATCGCATCTTCGGTGCAGGGTGTGTGCCCGAGGGCCAGGTGGCTGTGGGCACACGGGACGTGCTCAGGGCTGTTTCTTCCTGTCCCCTTTGGCTCCGTGGGATGTGGCAGCAGGGCCCCGCTGCTGCCAGGGCTGCTGGGGTGAAGGGAAGCCCCGGGAGCTGCAGGGGGCTCGGGGCAGCTGCAGGGACCTGCCCATCGCAGGCTGGGCTGGGGCTGCTGCTCCTGCCCTGCACGGCTTGAGGGAAGGGCTTGGAAACCCAGTGGGAGGGCTAAAAATTGTGCAAGTGTTTTGGGCTTGGCTTGTTTGTTTCTTTTGGGGGTTTTGTTTATTTGGGGTTTTTGTTGGTTTTTGTTGTGGGTTTTTTTTTCGTTTTTTTTTTTTTGAAAAACACATATCTTACTCCTACTTCCTTTCTTTAATCCTTGCACTAGCAGGAATTAGAGAATCAAACCAGCACTGGATATTAACTGGAAAAAGGAAGCTGTGAAGGTCCCAGACTTAGGATAACACTGCTGCATGGTCTGTGCTCTACTTATCTGTTAAGTCTTGCACTAGGTGTTCTAATCGTCCTTGAAATTTTTTATCAGATTTCACATATGATTTCTTAAAAGTAGAATTAGCTTAGAGATTTTATAGGCTTGGAAAAGAAACATAGTTCAGCTGGCTGTGTGGAACAAATAACCTCTGTGTAATTGTTTTGTGTGTTAAATATAAACCCTAAAACTTTTGACTGAAGCATGAATACAAGGGTTGACTGTTGGTTTAAGTAAATCAACCACTGGGCAGGTACTTCATGTATCCTGCTTTTCTTTTGCATAAAAGATACTGAATCTTCAATAATTCAATAATGGGTTATTTTCCTGACTGCGTGCGGCCTGTTCAGATGGCATGTGTAAGGGATGATTGCTGCTTTCCATCTTTATTCAGATGAACATAAACATTAAAGTCGTTTCTGATTCCAGAGCAGTGTCCTGTCCCTCGGGTGTCCCATCCATGGGGAGCAGAGGCAGCTGTGCTGCAGCTGCAGACAGCCCCGTTCCAGCTCTGCCCTCCCTCCTGCTGGGGCTGGGCTGGGCTGTGCAGGAGGGAAGCAGCAGTGCTTGGGTAGGTCTGTCTTGCCCCTTTGCACACCCTCTGGATGCACCTCTGCGCTGGTGTGCCCAGTCCCAGGGGTTTGGGGGTTGTTCCTGGGGTCTCCCTGCAGCGCTGCCAGCACAGCCCAGCACTCACCACAGCCTGGGCTCCTCTCTGCTGCCACAGACAGCTCCACTGCACTTTTATTGCTCCCACATTTGGGATTAATTAACAGCTTCTTAGTGTTCCTGAGGAAGCTGGACTTCGGGGTTTTGCTCATTAACACCTTTGGTTTGATTTTCTGTACAGTTTTAGGGTCACATTCACAAGAATGTTCCCTGGGATGGGCATTTCTGGGTTGTAAATGCCAATGGAATGAGCCCAGCTGGGGTTTCCAGGAAGATAACCTTGCTGAAGAGGTGCTCAGGGAGGAGGGCTGTGCTTTGGGTTTGGAGGGGACATGCCCACCTCACGTCCCTCAGCCCTGCTGTGGGCCAGAGTGGCTTTGGTGGCTCTCCTGCCCCACAGCACTGGGATGTTGCTGTTAGGGCAGCACTGGGCTGAAGTGTTGGCCTCAGTTGGCTTTGCCTCCCCTCAGGGCTGCTGGAGGAGCCTGTGCCAGCTCAGCTGGAGCAAACCTGGGCCACCCCCCTGTCCACACTGCCACCAATAATACTGTGCTTCCTCCATCGTGGCATCAGGGACACTCAATGCCTGCCTGTAAGGCAGGAGAAAAATTTATGTTCTAAGAAACAATGCCAGTCAAAAATTGCCAACCTTCTGTGTTTTTATAGGGCGCTCTTGGAACCAGAAGTAAATGGCTTTTAAGCACCAGCACCTATGGACTCATGATTGATTGGGCTGTATGTTTTTGTTTAGGTTCCTAAAATAGACTTTTGGGATTGGAAATGCCTGGAGAGGCACAAAATGAGACAGTGAAAGCTGCACTATTGATGTTGCTGGCAGGAGAGGCTGGAGCTGCAGTGAGCAACCCGTTTATCCACACCAAAAACAAGACAAACCACCACAAGGGAAGGCTTTGGTACATCTCCAAAAGCCTTCCCTTGAGGGAAGGATGGGGTTTGGTGGTTGACAGTCAAGGACAAAGCTCAGCCTCGCCACGGTGGGTTCACAACCCTGTTTGGAGCCAGCTCTGGGTGCAGAGATCAAACCTCCAAGGATGCCCAAGCACAGGGAGACTGATCACAGACTCCCCTACCACAGGGTGCAGTGGGAGCTGTATGAACAGAGGGGGTTCATGCCTGCAGGTGAGTCAAGGAGGAAATGAAGCATCCTCAAAATATCCCCACCAATCTGGGCTTCCCCATCACCCTTTTCTTAAGAATCCTTAACTTTTTGTTGCAGTACTACACTGGTTAAAAAACCCAAAAATTCCCCAACAAACCACCACCAAAACCCCAAACCCAGAACTGGACAGTGCTCTTGTGTTTCTGGTATTTCTGGCAGTGTTGGTTGATTGCTCCCAGTGTGCTCAGCCCCAGCAGAGGCCAGCAGGGCCCCAGCCTGCCCTGCCAGGAGCACTGGGAGCTGCAGGCCTGCAGTGGCAGCACACAGAGCCTGCTGTCAGAGCCCAGCTCAGGTGCTCCTTATGGACAGGGCTGCTGAAAGGCAATGGACTGCCAGCATGTGCGACTGGGACAGCCTCAGAATAACCAGGGGATAGAAAACTGCTTAGAAGTACAACCAGCTGAGGCAATGGTCACTGAGCTGTAAAGCAGGGACCAATCTAAACCTACTGAAATGAACATTTCTTGCTCCCTCACCAGTTTTCTGAGGAGTTACTGCAGCAGGAAGGAAGAAATGCTCCATTTCTTCAGCCCTATTTTATCCTTCAGTGCAACAGCAGTTGCCTGAATGAACAAGATATTTAAAAGCTGGTAAATGAGAAGCCAGTGTTGGTTATTAGCCATGGGGGAAATTTCAAATCACCTTCTGTAATGGCTAAATATGAGCTGATTATTTGGCCTTGTCCGCAGAGAAAAGCTACAATAGCCTTTCATATGTATTAATAGGGTTAATGTTTGCTAACTGTGAAGCACATCACAATAAAGGGGAGGGAAAGGTGGAGAAGCTGTGGCTGCCCCATACCTGAGGATGCTCAAGGCCAGGTTGAATGGAGCAGCCTGCTCCAGTGGAAGTGTCCGTGCCCATGGCACAGGGGTGGAACCATTCGCCCTGGGGGTGGAATCAGTCGCTGTGGGGTGTGGTCACTCTGCATTAGCAGCATCATTGTATTTTTGTCTTTGCCAATCATTTATATAGCGCTGGCAGTAGAGCAGGGAGCGGTGGAGCGGTGATGTGCTGCTGTGTGAGGAGCTGGTGCTCCGCTTCCCCCGGCTCTGCCCTCCGGCAGCCCCGGCTGTCCCAGGCCTGGCATGGGAGCAGGGGGTGCCCTCTCCTCGGGCGGCCCGGCTGGCTCCCCGCGGGCTCCTGTGAAGGGGAAGTGCCGCTCGCAGCCCAGCCAAGCAGGTCCCGCCTTGCCCTGCCTCGTTAATGATTGAATGAGAGGCGGCGGGGCTGCCCCGGCTCGCTCAGCTCGGCCCGACCCGCGGCGAGGCAGCACCGGCCCCGGCCATGGTAAGGCTCCAGCCACGGGCACTCTGCCGGTCCACATCCCTGAGTGGGCTCTGGCTGCTCTTCCTTCTTACCTTAAAACTGATCCATCATCCTTTTCCCAACAACTTGCTAAATTAATGCATCTGTCTATACCGCACTTTCAACTATTGTTGCTATTTAAATTGCTGATGTCTGTGATGTGCTTTCTAGACTTAGAACTTCACTGAGGTGTTGAGTTTCTCCTCAAGAACGGAGCAGACAGGGCTCAGCAGGAGCAGCAGGTGAGGTCTGAGCAGAGCAAGAGCTCTCTGTAGCATTTCTGTCTCCTGGGAGGCACAGAGCAAGTGTTGAGACTTGATGGAAATGGCTTTATGGAGCTTTTGCTCTGCCTCATGATCTCCCTTCGAAATGAAACACAGCTGATCTCTGCTTTGAGGACAGAGACCTGTGAACAAGTTCTTGACACCAAAACACCTTTGGAAATGCTTAACCTTAGCTTGGGTTGAGTTTTGATCAATGTCCCAGTTTCTGGCATTTGGTTTTCCCTGCTTTCCAGTTGTTTGCTGACACTTTATCCAAGGCTCTCACTAAAAGCTGTGTGTGTCCTGTGGCAGGGACAGGTGGCTTTGCTGAGGAGGGAGAGGAGTAAGCACTTGAGATCCTGCTCTATTTCTTTCCCTGAAGATGAAAGCATTTTTTTTTAACCAGCCTTTAGAAAGAAAGCAAGTTCATGTGTGGTGCAGCTTTGAAGGAAGCTTTGGCAGAATGCACAGGAGATGGGCTCCATCCTCCATGCAATCCTGGTACCCAGTTTCCAGCACAGCTCACAAAGTGCTCGATTAAGGGCTGGGTTAATTTAACAAACACATCTCTCCTGGCTCCCCAGCCAGTTCTGAGCAGTGCTGCTGCCTTCATCCCTCAGCAGCCCTGTCAGCTAACCTCTGCTGCAGTGACAAGGCAGGACCCACGGGACTGGTGTTGGGTAACAGGGGCAGATGACTCCACGAGGCTCTGACAGGGCACCCACGGGCTGGTTTCACTTTCCTGGCCCCTGGCACTGCCCTGGCTTTGGCCAAGCTGGAACGCTGTGACTGATGCCTTCATTCAGGTGATGCTCCCACTTGAGTTCCTCACACAGGTCTTTGCTCAGGAGAGTTTTCATCTCCTTCTGTAACTGTGATCAGTGTCTGCAAGTACCAGTCCTGTGTGTGAGAGACGTTTGAGGTCACATATCTACTTACCCCGTGGGCTGGAAGGAAATTGCAGGCTGCATTCACTGATTACAGCAATGATATAACAATAACTGTGCTATGATCTTTTACTTGGGTTTGGTGTTTATTTTTCTTTTGATTTTCCAGGCTGTGAATGAGACCAGTGACTATTTTCTGACAAACAGAGTACTGGAAAAGTATTATCTCTCCACCATGTACAGCCTTGAGTTCATTATAGGTGCCATTGGAAACACCATCGTGGTGTTTGGCTATGTTTTCTGCCTGAAAAAATGGAAAAGCGGCAACATCTACCTGTTCAATTTATCCATATCAGATTTGCTGTTTCTGTGCACTCTGCCAAATCTGGTGAACAGCTACTCCAAAGATCAGTGGGCAAAGGAGAGCATCCTGTGCCACAGCAACAGATTCCTGCTGCACGCCAACCTGTACAGCAGCATCCTCTTCCTCATGGTTATCAGCGTTGACCGGTACATGCTGATGAAACACCCCTTCAGGGACCACATCCTGCAGAAGAGGAGCACAGCTGTTATGGTGTCTGTTGCTGTATGGATCGGGGTGATCCTGGAGCTGCTGCCTCTGCTGCATTTCCTGGAGCCTATAACACCTGACAATAACTACAAGTGTCTTGACTACGCGAGCTCCGGAGACCCCGTGACAAACCTCGTCTACAGCATGTTCCTGACCGTCTTTGGCTTCCTCATTCCCCTGCTGACCATGTGCTGCTTCTATGTGAAGATGGTTCGTTTTCTCCAGAACAGGAGCGAGCAGATCCACTCTGCCCTGACCCTGGAGAAGCCCCTGACCCTGGTGATCCTCACCGTGGTGATCTTCTCCCTGCTCTTTACTCCCTACCACGTCATGCGCAACGTCCGGATCGCCTCCCGAATTCCGGCCCTGAACGTCTCTGAGTGCACCAAGGGAGTCATCAGCACCATTTACATCATCACCAGACCCTTTGCCTTTCTAAATAGTGCCATCAATCCCGTTTTTTATTTCCTGATGGGTGACCACTTCAGAGAGATGCTGATGGCCAAAACAAGACAGCTCCTGGGCAGGCTGACAAGCACTGGGAAGTGAATGAGTGAGCAGTGCCCTTATGGTGGGAGAGGTCTGGGAGGAAACTCTCTGAGGGAGAGCATTCAGCAATGTGCCATTGTTTTAGATAACTTTATTTATGCAATAGAATAGGTATGAGCTGATTGTGTTCTCTAAATGCACTGTCACCTCATTGTACAGGAGGTTTCTGCTGAGCTGCCTGCAGCACGCCAGGAGGGATGCTCTGCCCCGTCCCAGCAGGACAGCAGTGGGGTACCCACAGCCCATTGACACTGTCATCAAAAGGCCATCAAGCCAGCTCTCTGAGGGAAAGCACACTGCTCTCAGACAGCTGCTTTGTGAGCCATAACGTGGGCCTGGGCTGGGACAAAACGTGCCCTCACAGGTCACCAGGACAGCCAGGCACACTCACATGGGCACTCACACAGCCACTTACCAGGGCGTGCAGCTACCTATCCTCATTATAGCTGTCTATAAGTGCCTGTGGAATCTATAGCCTGAAGCAGAATTCAGACCTCAGAGTTCAAACTTTATTAGCAGTTGCACTAATGAACCAGGAGCTAATGAGAAGCCGGTCCCTGCCTGATCCCTGCTCCACACAGAGCCCCAGCACCTCAGAGGCACTCAAAAACCTACTGGGCTCTGTCCTTCCCCCTTCTGGGACAGCCCTGGTTTGTACCTTTGATTTAGTGGCAATCTCTAAAGTCTCCATGACTTCCACTTACCTAAACTAATGAGTGAAACTTCTGATCATTACACAATTAACTGTGATGCTGCTGGTTTTGCAATTAAAAATGTGATAGAAGAGAATATAAACCCCTACGTTCAAGCTTCACATGCATGTTCCTCTCTGCCTAATTCTTCTACTCCTGAGTGGTACATAGAGAAATTTCAATTAATAAAGCTCCAAAGCACTACCTGGTTCACCTGAGCTGGGCTAAGCAGGACCAAGGTGGGTGCAGGTTCCCCCAGGCAGAGCCACATTGGGCTGCAGGCACTGGCATCAGCACAGCTGGGCATAGGCTTTGGTTCTGATTCAGACAGGGCTTTTTTGGTTTCATTTTGTTTTGTCTTTCCTAATTTTGGGTGTGGACTGAAAATGCCTCCAGAACAGGAATTCAGCTGTGAGTCAGCCTGAAAACAGTCCAAGTATGTTTTAGTGGCGGTAAGTGACCTAAAAATAACTGTTCCTGGGAAGAGGGTGAGGGCAGGGCCAGGGGCTGGGGCTGCCCCTGGCTCTCCCTGCAGCCACTTTCCCAGGCACACACAGGCCAGGACACTGGGCTGGCTTCAGTCTCCCCTTTAGGTGTGAGCTGCAGGAGCCTGTCCTTGGAGGGAATTCACAACCAGCTCCACACCCATGAGAAAAACACATGGATCTATTTCTTGTTCATTCCAAACCCTACCAAACCTCAGGTCCTCTGCAGCTCGGAATGTGTAAAATGTCCTACCACGTTGTTCCTGACATTTAGAGGGAATTTCCTGGGTTTGCTCTTGTTCCCATCACCTTTTGCCCTGCCCCTGCCCAGGCAGTGCAGCTCTGTGGTCAGCTGCCTCTGCTCCTTGCCCCAGCTCTCTGCAGTGCTCTGTGCCACAGCAGCTGCTGCTCTGCAGTGTTTTAATAATGATTTATGAGAGCATGTCTCCCGAAGAGCAAGGCTGCCCACACAGGGGCTGTGGATTCAGAGCAGTGCTGTGGGAGGGGTGGCTGCCTGGCTGCCCTGGACACCTGCAAGGAGCTGGCACCAGCAGAGGGGTCCTGACCATGTCACTGCCACACCGGCAATTCAGAGTTTAACTGCTCATGTTGACAGTAATGAAGATACTAATTCAGCTGACTTCTGCTTGGTTTCAATTTGGTTTTCACTTTCTAAAAATACATGAGCTAAAAATAGTCTTCCTGGAGCCAGGAGGAGCTTCACCCTCTGGGCAGTCTGTCCTTTGGTGTGAGGTGAGGGAGCTCAGCAGCCCCCCGAGGTCCCTGGGCAGCACCCAGGTGTGCAGGCACACTCATGGAAACACCTGGAGCTTCACCTGTTTGTTCAAGCAGCGTTTGGACCAGCAGCATCAGGGTCTGAGCCGAGCACACCAACACCTGGGGGCAGAGCACTGCAGGGATCTGATGCCACAGCAAGGTGCCTGCAAGGCTCATTTTCCTTTCAGTTTTCTGTGTCTTATCGAGATTTTGACCCACATAAATGAAGTGGAACATTTAAGTGCTGCTTTGTTCATTCGTGCACTCTTGCCTCACTTCCTGACACAGCCACATAAGAGTCACAGGATGGAAGGGCTCACAACCGTCCAGATGAAGCAATGAGGTTATTTGATAAATAAAGCAATCCAGCAGTTTGCCTGCTGCCTTTTGAAATAAATCCTGTGCTTTTGACTGCTCCAAGGCTTGGTCTTAGGAATTCTTTTTCCTTCCCAGAGGCCTGTCCTGTTTGGTGAATGCTGTTCAGGGGCAGACACAGCCCACTTGCTGCTGGCCCAATTCCTTCTTTCTGATGGGCAGGGTGGGGGCTGAGCCTGGCACAGCCCAGCTCTCCAAGCACCCTGGGGGGAACAGGGAGCTGTTAGCCCACCCAGCCAGGTGATGCAGGGCTGGGCACAGGCTGGGGAGTGTCCTCTGCCCGGGTGAGGGCCAGAGCAGCGGGCAGTGCTGATGAGCCAGAGGAGACAATGGGTCCCACCTGCCCCAGGAGCTCATCAGACAGGATGTGGGGCCCAAAGGGTTAAATAGGAGCTGTGGTGCTGCTTCCCTGCCTGCAGAAGGATCCTGTGCTGTGTGTGTGCTGTGCTGGTGGGTGCCACAAGGAAGGAGCAAGCTGAACAGGTAAGAATGAGGTGACAGTTCTCAAAAGTCTTTTATAGCTAAAGTTACAGCAGAAAAAATTACTGCAGAATGTGGCACTTCTTGGGGAAGCCTGGTTGTGTGATCTGCTGGAGAGAGAGCTTGTATGTGCATTGTGGTGTGGGGCTGTGGTGGGACAGTCAGATGGAATCAGGAGCTCCTGTAGGGAAGGAAAGGGACCCAGTTTGGTTTATGGGAAATGTGCAGCAACGTGAGGGGAACTGCCCTGTGCTGAGGCAGGAGGGGTGAAGGGAGGCTCCTGCAGGTGTGGTAACTGAGAGGCAACGTGCAAAAACACCAATCCTGTGAGCTGGCTTACAAGGGAAACCACTGGGAAATGTCCCTGTAAATGGAGGTACAAGGAGCAGCTGTAAGCCCAGGCACCTGCCTGGAGCTGCCCCAGGCTGAGCAGGGACACACAGCAGGGACACACAGCAGGGACACGCAGCACTTCTGCCTCAGCAGGGACACACAGCAGGGACACAGAGCAGGGACACATGACAGGGACACGGAGCAGGGACACACAGCAGGGACACACAGCAGGGACACACAGCACTTCTGCCTCAGCAGGGACACACAGCACTTCTCTCTTCAGCTGGCCTGGCAAAGGGCTGGGGCTCTGGGAGTGCTCCAAGGGGCTCCCTCCATCCTTGGAATGGTAGCTTTAAAAGCAACTGGGACTTTCTCTTTTGTTCTTTAGACAGTCCCCACATCTCCTTTCCCCTGGTCAGCCTGTGGAGAAGCTCAAAACAAACATGAATTCACCTGGTGGACCTTGGGCTGCTCACATCTCCTTTGTCATTGAACAGCTCCTGGCACTCGAGGGGTTTTCCATTCTCCTAAAGCAATGCAGCCCCTGGGATGCCTGGTTGTGCTCCCCTGGCAGGTTTACTAGCGGAAATCCTCCTCCTGCAGGAGCACAATGGCTGGGGGCTCTCCAGGGTGAGCAGCAGCCAGGGAAAACAAACATCATCCTGTTAGAGCACATTTCTACAGAGGCCTGAATTTAAAAACCTCATGTATGAGGTTCAATTGCCATGATTTTATATCTAGCAATACATTTTTGACAGGAGAGGAAGTACTTCATCACCCTAATGTTTATTTTTCTTTATGGTGTATGGGGATATTCTGGTTTCTGTGTATTTCAACCCAATATTTTTGCAGGGAATGGTTTAGCTATTGACTGCCCTAGGAAATGCTGGCTTCGCTGAGGTTTGTGTCTATAGTTCTGTCACAGAGAAATAAGCTTTCCCTGATCCCTGGGAGCAAATTACTTTCAGTGCCCATTTGTCTTTCAGGGTGTTTTTTCTAATTTCCTTTTAATTAGCTGTTGTGCATTTCAGGGCAGTCGTTACAAAATGGTGCTGCTTCATGCTGCTCGTTTTGCTTCATTGAGGGAAGTGTCACAGGATGCTTTTGATGGCTTGGTTTCAGAAAGGCCCTTTGGATGCAGGGTTTGGTTGTGTCTCAGGAGGAGGCTGTGACCCCACGTGCCTGTCCCAGCCCCATCCCTGCCTTCCCTCAGGACCTGCACCCCCTTCATCCTCATCCGTGCCTGGAGCTGGAGTTGATGAGCAGATGCTCTCTCCTCTGCTTTGATTTCTGTTATTTCCTAGAAGCATTTCAGTAGTAACCTCAAAGGATCCTGAAATGGCTTTTCCTGTTCCCATCAGAGATTAATTCAGTCTTTGTTTTCTCCTGCCTGCAACACCTTTGGGCAGAGTGTTTGGTATAACTTGGCAAGGGAAGAAATAACATCAGAATTGACCTTGTACCAAAATAAATACAGAGGAATTAATGTTTAGTTACAATTATCCTGTTCTCATTAACAGTTCCTCTGCTTGCTGTGACATACAAACTTCCAAGGGGTTTGGTGTGACTTTTGCCATATTTATGAAAGCAGCTTTTCGAGACCTGCTGCCTGTGTGAGGAAGAATAAGCCTGCTTGCCTCCTAAAATGCTTTTCAGACCAGTCTATGTAGTACCTAGTATTGCTTTACACAGATAAAGATAAAAATAAACGGAGTTAAATGGTTCCTCTTAGCTACATTATTCGTATATTGAATTATATCAGAGAAATCAGTTTTTCTTAAAGCTGCTGCCTATCGTTACAGTGATTCAGCCTGTTGTACTGATAGCATTGAATGTAAGTTTCTCCAAAAGTATTTCT